CTTTCCCTATTCAAACCTGAGATCTTCCTTTTTGTCTCAGGTATTATGATAGCCACATGATCACCTTTGATCTGTTTACTGAAAAGTGAGGAAAAACAGCATTAAACACTTCCACCTCTCCAGCCTTCCCTCTCTGCTGAGTATCACTACTCACTGGCAAGTAAGAAAGCAAGATTTCTTCCACTTCATAGAAAAAAAAAAAGAGTACGTAAAGGTAGAATTAATTCCGTGATAAACATCAACATTTTCTGAAGTGTCTTGCAACTAGAAGAGTGTTCACGTGGAAACATGGTTAAAAGACTTACGTTTCAGAGATGATGCCTACCTGAAAATCATGCATCTCAGGTTGGCACAAAAAAACCGGCAGCTTGCAATGATGAGATGCCTCTCCTTGGTGCTTAGTAATTCAAGTCACTCCATAAATTCACTAGGTGGCACTGCATATCAAGCTGCAACAATTTCTGTATGACCAGAAATTCTAGAACAGCTTAATTACGTATACCCTGAAGCACAGAGTAAGTGCACATATTTGTGGCCTCACACAATTATGTCCTACAGTAAAGCTATTGTAAACCCCTATCTGAAGCAAGGATGGTCTGTTTGTCAATGCAATTTACAGTTTCAGGAAATAAGTAACGCTCACAACATTTAATAAAAGCTACTTTAAGTGTATGCCTATTAAATTCCAACTCATACATCTTTATGTAGGAATCACAATGTAACCATGTGTGAATTACTCACACAAATAAGGACTTCACAGAAGAAGCAGATGAAGAATCAGTTAATATAATAACATATTAGAAACTCTGTAGCTTTGGTAAGTATTTTGGAAATATTCCCTTGCAAAGATGTCTGCTTATAGGCTTAAATCCATGCCTAGCTAGCATGGTACTTAGATAGATTGATTTGCATATACACACAATCAAATACTAGGATTTCAGTAAATCCTTTAAGTCTTGTTTAAAGATGATATTCAATTAAGGTCATAACATGAGAAGTTTGAATTGTATTTTCATCCCCACAAGGAATACAACAGAAAACTGAAACAAAGTCCAATCCTCTCCTTGAGAGTTACGAAACACTCCTGTATCATTTGGAAGTGTTTCCAGCTTCTGAGTATAATATGGTATTTGCAAAATGGATGTTATGTACCTTTAGAATAAACCATTTTATTTGCATAACTGCACTAATCCCTGGACAAAGATGATTTCTTAAAGTACATCTACACTGCAGAATGTAAATACACAGACAGTTCAAGAACCACATGCAGAATTGGCACAGTTCTGTTCAGACCATGTTACATGATCAGAAAGCTATATTGTTCCTAGGGCATGCATATTTTGCATTGCATTGTACCATATGTATAGAATATACAAAAACCGGATTCGATGCACAGGGTGACTTTATGGGGAAGCAAGGAGTTGGACATGCAAAGGCACTGACCTGCTTGTGGGCAATCATTTAAAAAGTAGAATCATGGTATCAGAATACCCTTAGCATGGAGTGCAAGCACTCCCAAGCAATCTAAACAACCAGGTCACTAAAATAATTGAATTAGCCACACTCATTCTGGCACCAACTGTGAGTAATGGTTGCATAAGGAAACACACTGTTACCTGTAATTGGTGTGGCAGTTTCCATTTCAAGTAAATTCACTCAACCAAAGTCCCTGAAGGCATTCTGCCCCATCAGCCAGAAACTTCCTTGTCCTTACCCTGTTACCCTACTCTAATGCAGGTTAAGTTGTAATTTTGTGGATTTCCACAGAGAAAAAGCAAACCAGGCTATAAAGAAACTTTACATATGGACCAGTATTTTAACAAACTCATGAAAGCCAAAAGCAATGACATATTTTCCTCTTCAATTCTACAGTGTGCTTAAGCTGTCTGCAATAGGATACCCTGTTCTAGTACATCCTAGCAGACTGCTTTCAAACACGAGGTGCTCCTATAAGAACCAGTGCTCCTATAAAAGCCAAAGGATAAGCTAATCTAGAGCTTTTCTTCTCACTAAACAAACATGTTTTCAGTTCTTTAAAACAAATGTTTTAACAATATTCTAACATAATTTTCAAGTAAGGGAAGCGTTGTCCATATTAAAAATAGAATTGAAGAAAGACTGGCACTGAACTGTAGGTAACCCACTTAAAAATTGCAATCATAGAGCAGTTTTCTTCCTTCAGTGCTAAGAAATAATAGCACATGGTATGCAGTAATCTTTTGTAGCTTCTCAGTTTGTAAATACCTAGAATTTCTATAAAAGGAAGCCATTTTCTATCCTAACGAGAGACTACTAATTTAATCTAGGCCAAAGGTAGTTACGGAAATCTCATATTCTAAAAACGCTCCTTAACTTAGTTTAATGCACATCAAGATTCTCAGGTTTAGTTTTGTTGTTGTTGTTGCTTTAAACAGGCACAGGTGTACCTATACAAATTTACAGCGGGAGCTGCAACAGACTTGATGCCCTCGCCTTCCATTTTGATCTTGAGCTCCCTAGATGCAGTTGCAATACACATTACTGAAGGTTAGAAAACCCTTTGTGAGACAGGACGATCAAGCTTCCCTCATTCTTACACAATCTCCTCCCACTACCTGATTCGCACAAAGACAGATGCACACACAGGAAAAGCAGCATTCAGGTACAGATTGTTTCTTTGAAAGTATGGTGGAAATAACTTATATTAAGACTAGTTCTGAAACCTGAGGCTGCTGTCTGGATAGATACAGGTGGATTTATGCATCTTTTTAAAGCTAACAAACAAAAAGTAAGATGCTAAAATTAAAAAAAAAAAAAAAAGATACACTTTGCTGAACTTGGGAAACTTAAATCTCAAATTAAGCTTCTAAAAACTGACCCATCAAAAAATAAAAGCCATTTTTCAACATGTGGTCACAGATGCTCAGCAACTCATCTACCTTTAATTAATAGGCTTTTTATCACTTCTAAAGTAAAATAATTAACATCAACTTAAAGAATGAGCCCCAGTCTGCCACTTAGGCTATATAGAATCTTTTTGTTCAACCCACTTAACAAAGACACATTTAATAAAAATACACTGCTAGTATTTGCTGGCCAGTGGTTAATATAATTTGGACACATGCTTTAAATTTAATATTTAAGACTCAAAGATACCAAAATTAATTTTCAGTGACAATTTCTTACAAGAAGTAGGCTAATGCATTACCATCTAGTTACAAGAAAATAAACATGGGTCTGGCCCAAAGCCCACTAATGTGAATGGAAAATCTCACACTAGCTTCAAAGGACTTGGGATCAGTCCCTATAATAACTACATGAAGAACATTCCATTTTGGGAGATGCAGCTACACAGCAGTGGTTAAGAAAGTCAATGTGTGTTTTTAGTGGGTGGAACTTTCTTAGGGAAGAGTTATACTGGGAAGCAAATAGGCTTAACTGCCCAAAAAGTCTATTAAAAAAAAAAGCAAAGGAAAAAAAGAAAAAAAAAAACACAGAAGGTCAGCAAGTGCCCATTCCCTTATTATGCCACACTATTCTAAAATGCAGAAACTAATGACAGTAAGAGTTCTCCAGCTGTAGAGTTAATTTTGCTGTAAGCTTTTACTGAGCATTTACAATAGGAAGAGACGAACTTATTGTTCAGCTGGCATGCGATTACTGCCATCAAAGCTGGCCAGCGCTACGCACTCAGAACTGATGGCTAAACCTGCAAGCGCCTGCCTCTTGCAACACGAGGAACCTGCTCAGGGAATGTCTGCTTCATCCCTCACCCATGGAAGTGAACGCTACCATCTACCAATGAGAACCAAAGCTGCTATGCACAGAGGACGAACCAACGTGTCATTTAAACTGCACTTACTACCCTTAGTGAAAAGGGACTAAAATACCTGTAAAACGTACATACTTACATAACGCGTTTAGAACAGGACCAATTTCTGAATACTAAAATGGTTTGTAAGACGAAGTATTTATTAGATAAAAAAATACAAAACTCATCCATTTCTAATTTCGTGGAAGTTTCTGTATGGGTCTTCTTCTACTTTCTTTGAACGATACATCATCTTTTTGAACAAGTAACAAATATTCTAAGACAGTGCGCAAGTCACCTGCTAGTCCACACAACTTCAATCCTGTTTTCCATTATTTCACAAATAGTACTTTTCCCTTTTTCTGAACGCTACTACTTCACAAAGAGTAGAGGAAATTGGCTAATGGACTATACAAAAATAAACTATTAAAACTGGGTGTGTAAAGTAAGAAAACAAAAACAATGAGAAAAATATTTTCCTCTCTAGTCATCCTCAGTTAGAAGAGTTTTATTTGCTTCTTGAACCAAAGGAAGACCTACAATTTTGGATAAATTGTGACTTCTAATCTGATGGAATTCTGATGAAATATAAACTATGCTTTCTTCTTTGCAGACATTCAAACTAACTACAAAATCTGCATAATGCTACCTGTATAAATTTATCTGGATACAAAAAACTTAATGAATTTTAAATGCCGAATAACAAAACAGCAAGTATGCTCCTAAGAATAATGTACTGGACTCACTGCTATTCAAATTTTTCTGGATCATTAATTTATATCAGAAATTATTATGATTCATTAAAAGTACCATTTATTTCTTCATGTTAACCAAAATCTATTTCTGAAATTTAAATTATCCCATTATCAACTTGCACCTGGTAACCAGAAGAAAAGAATCTGTTATGCTGAGAGTAAATTTTAATTAAGTTTTCTTTTTGTTAAAAACAATTAATAATGGGGCCAAATCCAAAGTTAAATTGCTAGTCAGAGAAAGAACAGCACTATACCTGCACAAAACTTTTTTGATTACCACGATGTTCAACAAACTTCCACTTTACAGAAATAAAAATAATATAATGTTAATATTCAGCACTTAGATAGTATTTCCTGCTAAATGAGGTAAAAAATAAAATTAAAATGTCATGGTAAAAGGGGAAAATGCACTTGTAACTGTAAAGAAAAGCAGCATCTAAATCCAGAATACTTACATTATTGCATTCTCCCAGGAAATATAGTGCAAATCCATCAGCTTTTGTAGCTGCCAAAGCAATAATAAAAGAAATAATTGTACTCAGAGGGAGAATCGAACTTATCAAGTTCTCTGAGGTGAAACCACAGATTCAATTCCACTTAGGACAAACATCTAAAATTCTAAAAGTGAAAGTCTATTGCTGTGTCCCTTGAAACTTCCCAGGCTCTATAAAATTAAAAGTACAGGATAATACTTATTTTTACCTTTGTCATGTAATGCATTCTAAAAACTAATTACAAGTTACATCCTTATGCATCATATTCTTATTCCTAGGCCTAATGACTGTAATTTCAAATTAGTTCGTATGACAGTACAGAAATAATATAAGAACATGTATCTACAACATAAGCAGGCAGATAACATTATAATTTCCATGAGCAAAAGAGTTCTATTTATAGATGGCAAGATATACTTGTCCTTGTCTTAGGACAGAAAAGTATGGGAAAATAAAATGTTGCAAACATTATCATAAAAACGTGTTTCAAAACAAACCAGTTCTATTTTCTGTACCTGTCCTGTATTAAAAACATTGATACACCAGGAAGTTGGCACCTCTCAGTGATTTTTGCCAGATTCAGATAGCTTTATCCTATTTCATAAAACAAAGTGCTTTAAACTTTCAAAACTTACAATTAATAAACTTCATTGCTAAAATGAAAACTCTCGGAATCAGAATAGCAGATAGCAGGTCAATGATTTTTACCCTGCTTTACACAGTATGATTGATATTTTGAGTGTAAGTACATCTTTCTTTCCAACAGTTAATAAATGTTATGACCAGCAATAACACATATCTGATGTCTTATTTTTATGAATAAACACAAGAATCTACTCAGTACATTTCATGGGAGTGTTTCTACTTTTGTGTGATCAAATCAATTGGCTTTCTGCATTTGTTTAACAGAGGGAAAAAAAATAAATCCTCCTATCTAGTTACTCGCTTATTGTCAACTGTGTCACATCAATGGGAGTTCAGCGCATGGTATTTTGCACCCAAATTCAAATCCTTCAGCTGTAGTATATAAGCACATTGAGCTAGGAGGTAGAAGAACACAACAAAAGAAATTTTAAAATCTTACCTACTTTACAAAAGAAAAACTTTTGTAAAAGATAAGCAGACCCTGACCCTTCTAGCTTCTCATTTGCTGTGAACTAACAAAACCCACTTCCGATTTGCTGCAAGTTGTACATCAATATCCAAATAGCCACTTGAGGGAAATCAGTGAACAGAAATGTCCTTTTGAAATATCGCATATATATAAACAAGACAATTTTTTGTCATTACAAAATGACAAAGCAGCAGGGATACAGAAAACGTTTCTAAAGGCTGCTTAAAAGCTACACTGAACAAAGCTACTGATTCTACCTATTAAGTCTGAATACATCCACTGTGGCTAAAAAACCCTACCATTTATACTTATATTGTTATTAGGAATATTTTCTTAAATTTTAATGATGTATAGTAGTATTTCCTTACTAAAATTGGTACTTACAGGCAGAAAAAAAAAAATGCTTAAACTACTACATGCAATTTGAGATCATGAAAAAGATATGCCCTCTCACAATAAGATCTTTGTTTTGTTGAAAAGAGATTAAAGTATGCAGCGATATTACTGAAGGATGATTTTTTTTTTTTTTACTTTCAGTATTGACTGCAACATCATCATAATCAGAATAATCTGTTTAGTGGTTCATTTTATAGGAGGCTCTAATTTTGCAATTGGATATACAGCTGCCAAGAAAAAATTCACTTAAAGGCAGTCAGGGATTCACTGACATACAAGTATAAGCCAAGCTGGAGTAAGTTTATACTGAGATATCATCCAAAGAATACACAGGTACCCCTCAATGCCTGTCTTTATTAATTAAACTATGTCAGAAATGTGCTGAGTAACAGCTCAGAGACATCTGATCCTCTTTCTTACCTATTTTAATGATGCTGCTCAGTTCATACAGAAGTAGTTGGTTATCTCCTCCTGTATCCAGGCGCTGTTCTATGTAGCTGTTCAATTCATACACTACGCCTTGCATATTCGTGTCCTGATACTATTGAAGCAAAAAAGACAAAAACATTTTAGAATAACTCAGCTGTGCTTTGCTGTTTTTAACATATAAGTTTACTTAAAATAATAATAATACATTGAGATTCCAAAACTGAGTCAATCTTTACTGTCCTCATCCATCTGCCTGCAATATCGGGTCACTGCCGAGTAAGAGGCACAGCGTTCCACTCTCTCCATTAGTCATTGGTTCAAAATGCACTGAATAAAGCACCGCACAACTAGTAATCGCCTAAACTTGGCCAAGATCACACGACAATATCTCAAGAAGAAACAGAGATGTAACAATCAGAAGGCAAGAAAACTTCAGCTCCCACCTTCTAAGCTCCTACTCCACCAGGAAAAGACAGCTAGCTACCTTTGCCAGCATCTTCCACCTGGAATTAGGGAACTGGAATGATGGAACTGTGTGAAGCACCAGAGCTTTGAGGTGGTAGCTCAAGTATCTCAGTCTTTGAAATACAGCAGCAACCAGCAGACTCTAGGACAGAAATCACATGAGCCAAAACCACGCTGCAAGTTGTGGCACAACAGGCATTTGTTTCAAATGAAAATAGCCAACATAGAGCAAGAAAGAGATTACAAAACAGCTAGGATATAGATGGGAGCAATGGGGTGCTGGTTGCAGGTATCACGAAATAGCATAGGAAAGGAGATGCATCTGCTCATAAAGAGCGCAGTTCCCCTTTGGTTAACCAGTTCCTCAGTCCTGAAACCAGGTCCTGAGCAGCAGACACAACTGTCAGTAAATGTGCATGTGTAGCATGACAGCATCACCTTGGCAATAAGCACAGATTCATTACCCTGCCCAAAAATGGTAATGTGGTAACTGAATAAAACAGTATGGTCAATTATTTACTGAACTCAGTGATGCAGTAAATTATGTCCCTTAAACTAAAAAGGAAGCTGGTGATATTTAGATGGATTAATGTTGCTTGAAAGAGTAAATCTTATTCTCTCGCTAATTCATACTTTAGAGCAAAATGTAATATAGACCAGACTGATGTGAGTAATACTGTGGAAAATGCCACGTAAGTTTTAAGTACCTCCATTCCCACTTTTACGTGCACGTACTGTAACTGCTTCACTTCTCTGTAGGTCTTTTCTGACTGTATCTTTGGGTATACACGTGCATTTGACAAACACTTACTGATGCATTAGGCACAAAACTTGCACAGTATATCCGATGATAAAATTTTCGTTATTCCCACTAATACTTCCACGCATTTCTGCATGTAACCGCTATGTCACGAATACAGGCCATATACTTACGATACATTTGGTTTCTTCATTTCAAAAAAAAAAAAAGCAAGTGCTTTCCAAATAATACCAATTTGTGAATCCTTCAAATTATGCAACCTTAATCATGGCCTAAAAATGGTTATTGGAGAATATGCAGTCTCTAGCACAATCCCTTCTTAACATATGATGCTGTATTAATCTATTGCTCCAGACAGACGTTTAGAACTGTATGAGACCTAAGATGTCCAGAGTGCTCTCAAGATCTAGCATATCCAACGTGTTCTCCTTGGAGAACAAACATAACACTTAATAATTCTTTCTAAAAACTGGCATTATTAATATCTTTGACAGCTATATAAGGTCACAGTACTTACATGGTTACTACTTGGTTAAGTCTTGAGCTTATAATACACAATATCATTACCATTATTACTACAACATGGTACCTGGAGAGCTTCTATTTGCAATTGACTGTCCTCTGTCGTGCCTCATATTTACTATTGTATAGGTTTTCAAAGGGAGAAAACAATCATACCATTTCAGAAAAGTGGGATTTTTATGAATGGCTTTATACTTACTATAACATAGCCATAGGAAGCTATGTAACAGGAAGATGATTAATGAGAGTCTATATTGTACATGCCTATTAACCCAGATCTGCAAAAGTATATTTAGCTACATATCCTAAAACTAATCAAGAACTAATGCACAAGGCCTTTACTATGTGGAAAAACGCCTTCTCCTGGCTTGGAAGTGAATATCTTTCTCTTTACCTGCGGTGTACATTCAGGATTTAAGTTAAATCTTCAAAGGCTGAAGCTAATACAATAACAGAGCACATTAGCAAAAAAGAGTCCACAGACACAACAGCAGTGGCATAATAATAATTTTCACCATAATCAAGAAGCAATTCTGTGTGCATAGTAATTGCACAATAAGCTATGCGTCCTTTACCCTCACCTCTGTAACGTATGCAACATTTTATAAGCTATGTAAACGTATGTAAACATTTTATAAGCAGGGCAAATCATTGCACACATTCACGTTACCGAAAAAAAAAAAAAAAAGCTAGCTGTAAAATATATGTATCTGTAAATTTGTGATATGGTAGATTTCTATACTGACAGTCTCTGAAATTACAGCTGGCCAGATTAACTAATTCTATGAGTTAGATCAATCACCAGCAAAGAACAGGCAATTATTCTGTCATGTTGAAAAATGTTCTTTGTTTTTACTACAACGAATTGAAAGAGGTTTGTTTACTTGTTTTTAGGTATTTTAGATTGAATAACCACAATATTTTTGGTTGAAATGTCACAATATATTTTATGAAATCTACATTTAAATACCAAACGTGATGAACAAACCTGATACAAGCACTACCCAATACACTTGCTAACACAGACCAGCATGTATTTGATATCAAACTTACTTTAGGAAAGTAGTTCCTCAAAATTATCAACATACTATGTGGAAAAGTATACTTATTTGTCATCAGATATAGCACAAATACTGTTTCTTGATTAGTCATGGCAGTTAACATGGCAGTTTAAATCTTACTAACACTGAAGTCCTTTTAGTTAATCCATTCTTCCCATTGCTGATTCCTTCTGTTTAAGATTCAGTGTCTGCAAGTATTTCGTCATGTTTATTCTACAATTCTCAATTTCAATGACATTACATTAAAATAATTTCAAGTAGACTAAAACTGTTTTAGTATTACCATATGCCGAAGTCTAAATTTACCCTACCCATATCCTATTTTTACATACATCATAATGTTTTAAAAGACCTTAATAATTTAGAAGGAAAAACCTTTATAAATATTGATGAAAAGAAAGTTTCTGCAGGATTTGCATAAAAGTATTTTTAGAGTTATTTTCTTTAGAACATAATGTTGCAGCAGAAGACAGCAACCAACAGTGACAGGTAATTTAAGAATAGTGCTATATCTTGGATCGAAACAAAAAGACTGAGAATCACAAATATTTTATTCCATTACAGGAGACACTGAAATATCAGAAAGTGAGATGTATTCAATGCATTCACTCTGAAGAACTAAGTCATAAAAAAATCAAAGCACTCAATTTTATATCTAAATAAATGTCATATATGACAAACTGAAATGAAAGACTAATCTGCACACTTTCATGCTTATAAGGTAACTGTGTCAGGCACATTTTATGCTGTTGCAGAAAAGATAAAGTCCTGCTGGTGCAACAAAAAGATTTCATTAACAGAGTTAAGCACAATTACAGTTCAGAAGTTTATCTGTTTTCCTGTAACTTCCTACAATGTTTTCTAAGCAGCAATAAGAATAGTAAGTTCCTATGTGATACCTATTCCTCTTACAGAACTCTTTCTCCAAATCAGCAATTGCCAGGCTCTGCAATACAAACATATCCTTTTACAGACTTCATAGTACCTGATATTATCCACAGGCGAGTAGAACAAATAGCCTAGAATTGTAGTCTCCATTTAACATGGAAAGGCATTGCCACGTGTACTTTGGGTACGCAGAATTTTACTGGAAAAAACATGAGGAAGCTGCAAAATATAGGGGGAAGTGGCCACTTCCAGAGAGATTCCTCGTATGTTGTGTATTTTTCATCTGTGATTTGGGCAACTTAGGCTGATTTAAAGGTATTTCAGAGAGAAGAAGGAGGCAGAGCTCTGTGTCAATTGATGTAGGTAGGAGACCTCTAGCTAACCACAGGGCTACAAGGAGCCAGACAAGTGCCACCTTCTAGGACAGGGCTGTAAAGTCCTGTTCTTTGTTACAGACTCAGTGGGTAAAGACAGCAAAGCTGTTTTGCCCAGGAAACGGCAGAAGGTGGCCATCTACCATACCAGTGTGCCTTGGAACCAGACTTCTGGAAAACAGGGGCCTATTCTTCTCCTTTTAAGCATTTTCCTGAAAATTTTCAAGACTCCTTGCCCACCCTTTGGAGTGTTGTCATCTTGAAGTGCAGACAGGTCCTGGGAATGCAGCGTGGATGCTGATAACCAGTGTTTCAGCTCCAGCCCCTGGTGCCACCCCAGATCTCCTCCATTCATTTTACTCGTTATGCAAGAGCAGTTGGCAGATAGGAGGTACTGCCCTGGTTCGCACCGTTATGCATGCCAGCTGGACATGGAGCGTGCAACGAGAACATCAGCAGTGCTGGAAGAGCTAATGTTATACACTGTCTGTCTAGGGTCATCCTACCCATTTGGCAAGGCATTCTAGAGGTGCCTAAGGACCTGCAGATATTTATAGTGTACTCTGTCCTAGGGCACTTGAAACTGAGACCATAAATGAGTCCATAAATGGAATCTGAGAGGCATGTAAACGGGCAAAAAAAAGCTCAAAAAGCTAATGACAAAAGAGCTTTACGAGATCAAAATGACGTTCTTCAAAAAAGAAGAAAATAGCTGTTGGGAACTACTGTAACACTGGAACAAATGGAGGCTTTTGTTAAGACCCTCAACTGTTGAAAGGCAGTAAATCATTACAAACAAAAACTGTATAGAGGCCTTTTGGGAGTTTAAAATGCTTATTCTCTCTTAGGTTACACAGGTTGGTTACTTCTGATAACCAGCTAATACTTCATCAAATCACCTGTGTTTATCTGTCAATGGCAGCTTCAAGACCTGCAGGTACTGAATCCAATTAGTTCTACACATTGCTTTACATGAAATAATGTCCTGAAGATGGAACAGAATTTCATTTCAAAAACCTAAGTCATGAGATCTGATATGTGA